GCAAAGCCCACCGATGCTTTCCAATTACAAGACCGAGATTATTGCATTTCGATATCCCAGACGGAACAGTTACAGAAACCAGAAAAGCAATGGAGAAAATTATTTGCGAATACTACTCAGACCTCTTCGATAGCCACGTCCACCTTCCGTCATATGAAATAAAGGATGATGGATATGTTGTATCACCGGTTCTTGCTTCCGAAACCCAATATGCAATTTCGTCGGTGAAAAATCGAAAAGCACCAGGTGCAGACAGGATAATACCAGAACGCCTGAAGAACCTTCCGCCAGTCCTCGCAAACAAAGTGGCTCGGCTCTTCACACGTTACCTGTCTGAATGCGAGCCCCCTATTCAGTGGAAGACCAGCGGGACCGTGTTGTTGTTCAAGAAGGGTGACCTACACGATATCGGCAACTATAGCCCAATCTGCTTAATGTCTGTCGTCTACAAACTTTTAACTCGAGTCATCCTAAACAGAAACATTTGGACGAAGGACAGCCATGTAAGCAAACAGGGTTCGAAAAGGATTTAGTACGATGGACCACATCCACACGATAGCAAGACTCACTGATGTTTCGCGAGAGTACAAAAGACCGCTCTGTCTCACTTTCACCGATTTAAAAAGGCTTTAACTCAAATGAGATAGAAGCAATCATGGAAGCCCTTGACAGTCAAGGAATCCTTACTCAGTGCATAAAGATTGTTTGTGAGCAGCACAAAAATTTCATAATCATGGTATCACCATTTTACAACGACATTAACATCGACGTCAAAAGAAAGGTTAGTCAAGGCGACACGGTCTCGCCAAAATTATTTACCGCCACTTATGACAACGTCATGCGAACATTGGTATGGGATAATATGAGAGTGAAAATCGATAGTCGGCAGTTACACCATCTTCGCTTAGCTGATGACATAGTCCTTATAACACCAAACATTAGCCAAACGCAACGAATGTTGGCCGACTTTGATAAAACCTGTAGAAAGATTGGTCCTCGTCTAAATCTCACCAAAACGATGTTTATGAGGAACGTATTGGTTTTCGTATGCCCCATTCAAGCTCAACGGAACGAATATCTCCAAATGCTCCAGTTACGTCTGTCTAGGTCGGGAAATCAACATGATGAACGACTTGGCTCCAGAGTTCAGCAGAAGGAAACGAGCGGCTTGGAGAGCTTTCAAGAGCATCGAGTATGTAGTGAAGAGAACAAAGAACATCCGACTCCGTTCCCACCTTTTCGACTCAATGGTACTCCCGGCACTCCCTACGTAAATGTCTACGTCCCTCCCTATGCGTGAGAAACCTGGCAGCCGCGTGAACACGATGAAAAATCACTGTGTTATTGAAGTTCAGTCGAAAGGACGATGCCAGAAGTATCCTATGGTGACGCAAGTAAGGGATGGGATCCGAAGGGCCGACCTGCGTTAAAGATAAAAAATCAGAGATGCCGCTCTGCACGCCATACAGTCGAAGATAAGGTGAACCGGACACGTAACACGCATGAACGACAATCGATGGAGAAGAACCGTTACTCACTGGATTCGGATGTCAAATGCACTGCAGGAATTCACCGACCCGATGGTCAGAGTTCTTCACGAACAACCTAGGAGAAAGATATGATGCTCAACGGGTTCGTAGAGCCAACAGAACCCACTGTGCTAGTGCTGCACGCGACAGGGAAAAATAGAAGATTTACCGGCGACCATCCGGGTCGGTCGACGATCAGCGGGACTACAGGTGATACAGGTATAGGGGGACGTAAATATATGCATATGCGTATTTATATGTACATATATACACATGTATATGTGTGAAAATCACGCCAATAAATCCCATATAGGAGGTACAAATCTTGTTTTCAGTTTCGATAATAACCATCAAAACTGTAAGCTTTACAAGCTTCGGACTGTAACAATTATAAACTGGACATAAAAAACCACGACTGGGAAACAAAAACGAAACAAAAACCAAAAAGTCGTAACTTGCAAAAAATAAAATGTGTGTAAAAAGTGCAAACTGGGAAAATTTACGGTGCAAAACATTTTTTAACAGAACTGTTTCCATAGTCCGTAATGTTTCCAAAAATATTTTAGTTAACCTTTCACAACAGCCAGCACTCAATCATTGGGCGCCGAAAAAACTAGTGTAAGAAGTTTTAGTAAGCCGTAATGCGTGAAAAAATGTTTTTTTTTTTTCGACGGACACCAAGTACAGCGCGTTTAATGGAATACATACCTAGGATATGAATACAAAAGGCATAGGAGAAAAACCTTGCAGGAAAAGAAAGAGCAAGGGCGAAAATGAAATCGACTACTCTGCCACAATATGCAATAATGGTGAAAAACTTACGAGTGGCGCAAGGTAGAAGTAGCAGCGAAAAACGACATCATTCCAGCAAGACAAACCATGAATACTCCACCTCCGAGAGAAACGTCGCAATGAGGCCGAACGCGCGCTACTTCACATTGAGCAATTAGGGCAACGACGCACACACATAGAGTCAGTAGCACTAAAATCTATATATATTAACGCACATGTATTCCAGGATGTCGGAAACTACTTCTGTTCGAAAACTGGAAAAGATAACAGAGAAGTGCAATTAGAGAGAGAGAGACAGAGACAGAAGGAAGAAGTTATAACTTTATTGGAAAATGTAAATCGTGAACACGAATTTAGTTTCATTATAAATCTCAACGGATGCGTGTAGCTCTGTGTTGGGAGGCGCCCTGAAGTGCACATCGGGCCAATTTCGGCGCCTCTCGCCCACCAAGCCCTCCTTCCCTCTGGGGTCGGAAAAATGGTACCAAACTTGTCCGGGAGGATACGAGCACTGACTCATTCGGTAGGCCACCGCGATTCATTGTAAAGGCCAGATATGCGTTCGATCACCACCACACGATGCCTAGTGAAGTCGAATTCATGGCGCATCCCTAAAGGATTGATCAACGCCGAGAGCTTCATCCCTTTTTCTTTTTATAGATCAACACCGCAGATAATCAAGAAACCATGCTATTCATGCCCATTGTGGCGCATCGGGTCGAAATCAAAAGGAAAGAAACGATCTCGTAGTAATCCTAAGAAGCAGAAAGACTTAGCAAATGGACGCTTTGTCTTTGGACTGCCGAACTGACATAAACCTCTAGTGTATGCACCATAGTTATGAATATGTTCATGCGTGCGCCTGTACTTGGGCAAGTATTTCTCGTGGATCACAGGTGAAAGAGATGAGACCAGCGATGTCACAGGAGACTTTCGGCAGATATAAAACACACGGCGAACAAGACTGCTATTTTTACTTGTGATTTCAAAATCCACTTACTATTACACATCTCAAAAACTGTGTTCCGTCTCAGCCACTGTAGAAATCCGTTGGGAGGAGGAAGAAGGTTCATAATTAATGACAACGACGATGTCAAAGTAATGATAAAACACAAAGCGATGAGAACGTAGAAGAGATTGGCAACCATAGGAGTTACACAATCCAGTAGCACTGAAATAAGAATCATCAAACTGTTAAGAAATGAAGTGCTTTTAAGAATTCCGACAAACCCCGATCATTGGAATGAAAGGCAATATGAGTTCGCCCTTTTCTGTCTAAGAAGCCACCGAATCTTGCAGGACGCCAAAAATCCCGACAACCTTAATGGATGCAGAAGGAAATAAACCACCACATGCTTCAAACACATATACAGCAACATAAAGCCAGAAAAAAAAACTGAAAAAGTAAGTAATCACCAATATTTGTGCAATGGTCTGACTGTGAGACGTCAAAAAACAACTCGGTATCGTCACTGCCCGCCGTCGAATTCAACGCTGGCTCGTCGATCAATATCCACTCACTTGAAAGAAGAGCACAAACGGCCTGAAAAGGACTACCTACTATTCGTACGTGTTGAAGGAAACAAACATCATATTAGACATTTATATTTTAAAGTACAGGGATTCCCTTCGAAACTGTCAAAGGTTTTTTGTATTGTCTGAAAGGATGTCTTATAGCACGAAGAAAAGAGATACCACCGATACAAAACACTTACCATTAAAAGGGATAGAACGTGAAAAAAAGCCCCGTAGAAATTTGATTCAGATAAGTCAACTTTCGACCACCACGTCATCTCCGAACAAGAATTTTGACTGAAAATGATATCCAGAAAGGCATCATATACACCTGCTTAACTGGACGGGTATAAGACTATGCTACGATTCGCAATTGAAAAAAGCAAAGTAATTCGGATAATGTTGGAGAAGCAAGCAAACTACTGAGGATTTGTAAATGCTGTCTACTGCTCTCAAGCTAACTCCTTGTCAGCGGTTATCGATCAGCGAATACCGTAGTGTTCGCAGACATTCTACTTGCGACCTATAATCATCTTGCCAACATTCCAGGAAAGTTCAAGTTTGTGTATACGTACAATGATTTTTATTATATATATATATATATATATATTTATATGTAGGTATGTATACATACATGTATATCTGTTGTACTGGCGAGAGATGAACGCAAACCATTTCGACTTCGCGGGTGGCAGTGTGAATTTTCGTGTTAAAATGGTAATATGAAGAAGTGAATGGTCAATGACGGTACCGATTCTTACACAAAACAGCGTTCAGAATGTTTTGAACCATTTCTTAAATGTTCAGAACGTTCACGTGCATGACAAGGTTTCGATAGTTACTGGTAAGTAGTTGTGCATATTCGAAACGTTATTTCCTTTCATAGCGTTTCACTCTTCACATTTTATTCTCAGAATATTAACCGTAGTATTTGCTTCATTTCAGTGAAGACGTTCCAAAACATGTCATAGAGCATGATGCAATGTATTTTATTGCAATTTATTACCACGGTTCAGTAGATATAATGTGGATTTTGAACCATTCCCTTATTTTCTCCATGCTGGTTCTGTACTCTAATGCATCAATGAAGGCTCTAATCATTTCAAAGTGTCTTGAACCATAATTAATAAGGAGTTCTCATCGAGTAGAATATGGGGGTAATTCTAGGCAAACTTTCCAGAACGTACTCTGGTCTTAATCCGATCACCTCCATCTTCGTGTGAAGATTCGACTCAGCCATACGCCGGAAAGGGACTCTTGTAACGAAAAGCTCTCTACCAATCTTTTCCACTCCACAATTCCCTTCTCAGACCCCGAAATCACCACTAGTGAAAGTCGTCCAGAATTCTACCCACTGAATTTCGAGTTTGGAAAGCATCAAGGGAGAGACAACTTCATAACCCGCAAGTATTACATCAGGCTACATATAGCTCCCACAGCCCATATGTGACATCTTGCTACTAGAAAGGGAAAATCCCACACCAGTTCGGACGTCGCGCAAGGTCATCCTGCTCAAGAAGAGTAACCGAATAGATCTACATAGCTATCATCCGAATATTTCTTTTGAGTGTACACTGCAAAATATTCATGAAGATTACCCTAGTACAAACGTTAAAAACTTTTGATGATGCTCAACCAGTTGAGAACAACCACGCTTCCGATGCAACATGATCCTGCTGCATGTATCACATGAATACCTTGTTATAGGTTATAGAAGTCTATCGGTTGTTCGCTTCTCTGATGAAATCGTGTTTTTTTTTCAGGAGTGCCAGTTGATCGGTGCTCACCTTTTCGATTCAACAGTCCTCCCAGAGCTCTTTTATGCAGCAGAGACGTGAGCTGATACTGGTACCACGCCAAGAACTCCGCATAACACGAACAGAGAACTTGAACGATGGCGTGCACTACTCGTGCAGAATGGCCGTCCAACTATGTAAATATCCAACTACTCTGTGCCGAATGTTTTCGTGTGCTGCAAGAAGTTGAATCATTATCACATTGGAGCCTTTGTGACATCAATGGACTGGAAGGACTCACTATATTTAACAGAGCGCAAGAAGTTTGTGACACAAAACTCTTCGTTAAAATGATAAAGCCGTGTGCAAAGCCATCCTTAAAATCCATACTCCAGAGAATTTATAGACTGGAAAACAAATGTTGCTGCGTGTCTCAGTGGAATTTTGTAATACTGACAACTACCAGCTATCAGTTCGCTGTTTATGAATCTCTACTCATAAGAGAGGGCAAATCAACCAGCGACGGTTGATACAAACTGATTGGCTTTGTGCTTGTTTATTTAGAAATAAAGATGTTCCTAGCTGTGTTTTTCTGTTCAAAAAAATAGTTTGTTCAACAAGGTTCGTTGTCCCTAGATGTTAAACTTGGAACGCTGTGCTTTACAGTCATTAGTTTACGGCAATCTGCTTTTTCGAACGAGTTTGTTTCGTCGGAAGATTGTTCATTTTAGAAAGAACGTCTACCACATAGATCGTACCTTTGAGGAAAGTACGGAGATATCTCCGCTGTACTTAGACTACTGACGTTCGACACGTAGAGATAATTTTTTTCTACAATATAGTGGCAAATCGTTGAAGAGATTTCTACAGGTGCTCCGAGCCATCAAAACTGTTCGTCAGTGAAAGAGTTAATCGTTTATAGAGTGTTCATGTTATAGAGTTCATTCCCAAAGGGATTTTTTCACGGCCTTCAAATCTTTTTCATTACTTTATTCACATAGGATTGGAAGTTCCCACAGTATGTACCCTTAGTAGTAATTCTTGCATGTAGTTTAAAATCATAATAGTCTATAACCTTTACTATTTACACCTTCGGTAATAGGCGTTGAATGAGTCTAACAGAGTTTTTCTACAATGGCTTCAATTGCCGTTACACTGTTTAAAACCTTACTTTCTGCATATTCTTTTTTGATATCACGGTAGGATATGGAAGGCAACCATAGGGATGCTATGATATGAGCAAAACTCGGAACTTCACTTGGACTTGGAAACAGCGACAACTCTCAACTGAAGCTCATAAAAGTTAAAACACTTATTTCGAGTGCAGCTTTAAGTTAACTAAGTTTGATGCCGGTTTGAGCTCTCTAGTTCATTACCGCTGACGGGTGATTACTGATAGCACAAAGGGAGCAAAAACAAGGTTGTGAGAAAGGCACAACGAGGTTCTCTATTGGTGCGTTGAGGGTAATCGCAGGCTCGAAGGCCATGTGAGGTTGCAAGTTTTGTCCATTCTCCGAGAAAGATCCCTACTGTTGACCTGTTTGGCACACAAAAGGAAAGGTCAAGATCACCATTTTTGATAACATTTTATAACAGCCAGCACAACGTTTCCGTTACTTCGATATTGTATCAATGTCAATCTTGTCAACATGTCTACTTGGAAGTGCAGTAGCACCAATAATTTCAAGGAAACCTGGGCACACTCTTACATCTATAGGTTTGGAGAGAAGAGAAGTTAGGAATTTGAAGATTTATTGAAAAGGCTCTGCTCTAGCGCCCAAAGGTTATGTTTAAAAAGTCTTCTGCAGTATTATTTTTGACCTAGATCTGCTTCGAACCAGATTTCAAAAAAAAAAGAAAATTCAGAAAATGCTGGAATTTTTAAAATCCCTAGCGCTAGCGTAGAAAATGGAAAGATTGAAGATCAGTGGATTTAAACAGCCGTCATTTACTCATGGCGTACGTGGAAACGTGTTTAGAAACGTTCATTGATGTTTTAAAAATCTGTTCTATTCTCACGTCACGTGAAGTACAGAAAAATTAGAATTATTAGAATTAAATCCATCGTTCAAGCGCACAGTATTCATTAATCCAATATTATCTTCGACAGGATTTTCTTTAATGATTAAGCTAGCACGAAGTTTATTAAAAAAAGAAGCTTTACTGTGGTAACATTTCGACATTTTCGTCCTCTTTAATGCCGATCATTCGAGTTGGCTGCACACGGTAGTTCTTCCGCACTTTGTGTGTCTTCATAGTCGTTCGAGCCTAATCTTCCTAAAGTCATACTCTACTCTCTTGCTACTCTTGCACGCGACAGGGAAAAGTGGAAGATTTACTGGCGCTCGCTCGAGTCACTCGACGATCAACGGGACTACAGGTGATCTTAGTTTAGTCACCCAAAAAAATATTATTGATCAACTATGCCGGAGTAAAAGAAAGTTTATTTTTTAAATACTGTTTTTAAGGTTGCTAATATTAGAGAATAAAAGGTTGAAAAGAGTTCGGCGTTTTTGCCAACCCCAGAGGGATGGAAGGGTTGGTGAGCTCGGAGCGCGGGATCGAACCAAAGGACTTGTGTGTAACAAAAGGGCACCTCTAAGCAGTACGCTTAATCAATCCCTATTGCAAATATTACGAAATAAAATTTCTGCTTACACAGAAGGCACCATTATTTAGTTCCATTCTTATATTCTACACTTGGAAAAGTTTCTAACGGTTGGACGCGTACAGCTAAACATCGTTATGAGTAAACGTTGTAATCGACGTACGAAATCAGAATAACACCACTGGCAAACGAGTATGTCGATCGTGTTTTTGTTGTCTTGCTTCCGATCGCTTTTCAATTTCATTAAATTCCATGTTATGGTGGTGGGTAATAGGAAATAAACGAGCTGATTGACATTAACACCGAATTTTTTTTATAGCTTCGCAGCCTATTCTCCTCCTTCCTGAGGATTTGCTCAAGCTACTTCCTACTATCACTCATATATTTCAAGCAAATGGACAATACGGTATTTTCCGTCAGTAATATTTTATATGGATATCAAGAAGTAAGTTGGAGACTACTAGGATTCCATAAAGATATTTATGATTCTACAGTAACACTTTTAGGTGAACGATAGAAAACACCAAGGTGTTCGAAATGACGAATCCGAATTCGCTGGCCAAAATCACAAGGAAAAGAGAGTTAGAACATCATTCACGAAGAATCAGGTCTTTTTGTCTGCAAATTTACGACCATATCTCGTAACTAAAGTATTCGCACACTTTTTCAACACTGAAAAATTGTAAAGTGTTCAAGGCACTTTCGACTATGGCATCGTTTAGTCCATGGTACGAGATCAGTTTGATCACGTGTAGCCCTAATAGGAATAGTTAAACTAATAACTAGAGCGGGAGCCAATGAAGTTCACTCACTATTAGCAAATCGTCGATATGACAGTAGAAGACATGTCCGCTTGTACATTGCATTACAGCGTTTTCCAACTAGTTCTGTGTGGTTAATTTAGCGATGTTTACGTCTATTTATTCTGTTTGTTCATGTTCATTTTTGTTTGTTGAATTTATTAAAATGACTTTTCGTACAATTTAAACTGGTATCTCAAGATTCTTGCCTTTAGATTGTGATATTGGAACAGAGGTTCGCCTTACAGAAATACCTGACCTCAACGGAACGCTCATCTCTAGCGAAGGAGCTAAAGATGAGCGATGCACAAGTGAAAACATGGTTTCAAAATCGGCGAACAAAGTGGAGGTGTGTGTCTGACCAAAATATTCTTATAGAGATGTGTGAGAAGTATTTCATTCATTCAAAAGACCGACTTCATATAAAACTCGGCATAAATAGTTGATAAATTTATTTATTCGACCTTATAAACTGATTTTGTTGAGCCCATGTGTTTGGTATAGGTTTTCGTTGTCGTTGTCGTTGTTGTTGTTGTTGTTGTTGTTATCGTTGCTGTTGTTGCTGTTGGTCGATGGCTGGCGTTTCGACGATTTCGCCTTCCTCAGAGCTGTGCTGTTACGAGTGGGAGTCCACTCCCATAAACCGTAAACCACGCGCAGCAAAAAATTACTCGTAGTCATAGGCACTTGCCGAGGAAAATTTGAAGAGGTCGTGAATGTGCCCGGTGCTGTAGAAATCCTCCACTACAACTATCATTCATTACCGTTTCTGAATTTTTCGTTAGTTTCATAAGTGCCTTACCTTTTCACTATTGCCTCCGCTTCCTTTTACCGTAATGGAATCACTTTAAGTGTTATAATGTGTAGAAGAATGAAAGAATTTTGAGGAGGCACGAATCGCCTGTGAAAGAAGAACACCGCAAAGCCATTCTCCCCTCTCTTGAATCACAGTACACAACTTCTTGCCAGGTGAAATATAATAATGCACTAATATGATGATCAACCAGACTTAAATAATGCTTCAATGAAAATCAGATGAGAGAAGTTTGTTATGGTTTGTCATCATAGTCTCAAAGTAATAAGAAAAAACTGAATGTTATTAGTTCGTGGTTGTAAACCAAACTGTCATCAATACGTAACAGAATGCCTTGATAGACGTTAACATTGACTTATGTTTGGCACTAGTTCCACTTTGATCCGCACAGGACTCTTCAAAATACAATTTTATTTTTTTTACCTGTGAGAATTCAATTAGAGTGACCTCTCAACTGTTTTCTCGGCTCCGCTCTCTAGAGTTACTACGCATAAATTACGGACTACACAAAGATTTTCGAAACTTCGCCACAGAAATTTCATCCGTTTTATATCTCTATTTGAACGTTACTGAGTCGGCTAACAATTTGCGTTCTACTCATCTTGCAATTAAAAACACATGGGTTTCCTCTCTTTCTCTCCTCCTCCATTTCTCTACCGTTTGTTCTCACTTTGTTCGAATGTTTGACGTGGCACACTGTTTGTCTCACAATAAAATTGTCAGCTGATTTTGCAGAACAGTATTGGGAGCACCGTTCACTTCCCATACTGCAATATATTTCGTTGCTCTTTATAGTTTCCACGAAGCGCGTAAAGTTCGGATTTGATCTATCTTTGTGATGGCTTATCCGTTACAGACGTGCAATTCCTTCGATTTCGGTCGTGTTGTCGTAGAGATGAGTGAATGCACATCCTACCCATACGATGACTCGCGGTTGCCTACCGAAGTATCGAGCCAGTGCTGCTATCCTCCCAGACAAGTTTGATACCAATTTCCCGACCTCTGAGGGATGGAGGGCTTGGGAAGCCTAGGACGCGGGACAGATCCCATGTGTACTGCAGGACGCCTCCGACCACTGCGCTACACGCGCCCCAACCTCACTATGTCCTTCATTCCAATAACAAAGAAAATAGAAATTACAAAAATAACAAAGTCAATCGCAGTAATAACAATAACAGTGGTTAATGACAATAGAAAAACTACTTAATGGTAGTAATCGATATAATAACAGTAACAGTAGTAAATTACTGATAATAATAATAGTAATAATAACAGCTTTCTGCTTCTACATCGTTCTTCAGTGGTGGGTTACTTTTTCATTCCTACTTTCGTTCCTGATTTCGGTTATAACATCGTCTCTGAATCAACTAGTAGGAGGATCGAGATAAGGATTCATCGCCGAAAAGATACTTCCCTTGGATCCACATCATGGTGAAGACCCGGTTACGCCCTTGCAAGGTTATGTCAGGACTCCAGGGAGGATCAAGTTGCACAACCAGCAGTAGGCCAATCTCAGTACCCCGCACACTGGATGTTCCCGTCTATGACGTCAGGCGGTGAGACGATCGGTGAAAGGCCACAAAATTTCGGGTTAAGCACGACGTCATTGGAACAGGATCTGATGAACACACGCAAGACAGGCTATGGAGATTGTTTCTTACTCTGCACGAATAGGGCCAAAAAACTCTTCACAGACGCCGATCTTCACTTCCTTGCAGCCTCAAATCGCGTTAAATTTCATGTGATCGCACTACGAGAAACAAGAAACGAGAAGCACGACATACGACAGCTAAATAACGGGACCCTTGTCCGTCCATTGTCCATCTCTTCAACCCGTACGAAATCCTATCCTTTTGCATGACCGTCCGCCTTCAATCAACGCAACATAAGAAGATCACTATCACCAATTGCTACTCACCGAGCGAAACCGACTTTGTGAATTAGATGCGTTCTACTATCAGTTGGAAGAAGTTATCCGCAATGATAATGCGCAGTTCAAGTTTGCTGTGGAAGTTCAACGCAAAAATAAGTCAGCCATAGCGAATACAGAGTCGGATAATTTGAATTAAAAGAGGGAATTACAATTGGAAACCGTCTTAAGGTGCCTATAGCACGCTTCTACTATGGAATCTCGCTTTTCTAGAAGAAATGAGGCCGCCGTTGAAAATGAAAGTCTCCAAATAGCATAACTCACGCGGAAACCGACCATATTCTGACAAACAGAAGATGGTGCCGACTTGACAGATCGGTAGACCCGTCATTCCGTACTGGTTCTGACCATCTCCTTCTTCGCGCGAAAGTTCGGTTGAGCCGTAAGCTGGAAAGAAAATTCATGTCATCGACCAAGTAGAAAAGACCAGGTTGCATGCAATGAGAACATTTTCAGCGAAATCTATCTAAACATGTCTGGCAGATTAAGGAAGATCCGACCGAAAACTAGCAGCTGCTTGTGGAATGGCCTAAAAGGTGTGCCGAATTCGTCTGTTTCTCAGGCAAAAAGATCCGACCGCATCTACATTATCACTAATGTGTTGCTCGAAAAAAGATGAAAACTGAAGCTTGATATTACTGCAACACTTAACACGGCTAGTAATAAATGTCAGCTGCAGAAGAGCTTTTCAGCAAGATCTAGAATCAGCCTCAAAAAATATCGTCGGAAGTTGTGTGATTATAATGCTCCGCTGTCAGCCATGTAGAATGGAAATAGAATCTCCACAACTTCCCGCCATGATATGGAATTGATAACTGAAACGCTCCACGCCAACCTTTTCCATTCCACAATCCCCCTCCCGGGCCCTAATATCCCCGCTGGAGCAAAACCACCTGAAATTCTTCCGTCAGGGGTTCGAGTTGAGATAGAAAGCATGAAGAAAGGTACAGCTCCAGGACTCGGTAATATCACCGCCGGTTTCCTTAGAGCTGGAAGCCACAATTTACATGTAGTTCGCGCAAACCATGTGACAGCCCACCTTCAAAAGGGAAAAATCCCAGACCAGTGGAGGAAGTCGTGCACGGTAATCCTGTCCAAGAAAGGAGACCGAAGGAATCTTCGTAACTATCGTTCCATATGCTTGGTAGTCTAGAAGTCTTTCTCGAAAATTATGCTCTCGCGCTTGTCAAAAACATTGGATAAGGCGCAACCAATGGAGCAAGCAGGATTTCGAAAAGGTTTTTGTTCCAGGGACCACAACCAAACTGTATCCACGGTCATCGAAGTTTGTCGGGAATGCCACTTGNCATGTAGTTCGCGCAAACCATGTGACAGCCCACCTTCAAAAGGGAAAAATCCCAGACCAGTGGAGGAAGTCGTGCACGGTAATCCTGTCCAAGAAAGGTGACCGAAGGAATCTTCCTAACCGTCGTCCGATATGCTTGTTCAGTGTACTGTACAACCACTTCACGAAGATTATCCTCTCGCACATATCAAGGACATTGGATGAGACGCAACCAGTCGAGCAAGCAGGATTTCGAAAAGGTTTTTGTTCCAGGGACCACAACCAAACTGTATCCACGGTCATCGAAGTTTGTCGGGAATGCCACTTGCTTCTATTCCTAACCTTTGTCGACTACGAAAAAGCGTTTGACAGTGTCGAGGCGAATGCAATCCTATCGGCGCTCGTCTACGAAGGAGTGAACCCGTCCTACATAAGAAATATGTCTGACTATTATCGGAACTGCACTACGAAAATATCGATTTTTCCACTGACCTCTTACCACACGTATAGGAAAAATGGTTCGATAGAGGAAAATCCACTCAATTGGGATGAGAAAAGCGTAGGTATTGATAGAAAATTCCCATCAAACCTTCGTTTCGCCGAGTACATCTTCTCAAGATGTACCAGCGAAGCACAGACGATGATTAATAAGTTCAATGAAGCGAGAAAAAAGATTGGACTCCGTATAAATCGGTAGAAGACCCACTTCACGAAAAACACATGATGCGAGGACGAAAAAATTGAGCTGGATGGCTCTCTGAATGCAAAGACCACCTCGTATTTTTACCTTGGGCGATCAATGAACACAGAAAAGAACACGAAGGAGGAACTAGATACAAGGAGAGCAGCTTGGGGCGCATTCGGGCCTCCCAAAGAAATCACCGACCAAATGAAGGACCCAAAAATCCGCACCTACCTTTTACACTCTACGGTTTTCCCAGCGCTTTATTATGCAGCAGAGACGTGGACTGATACTTCAACCACGTCAACAATACTCCGCACTACTCACAGAGCGCTAGAGCGCTGTCTTCTGAAACATAACTCGAACTCTCAATATCTAGCCGGAATGCGAAGATCTGATCTCTTAAAGCTGTCACATCTTTGAGATCCAGGAGAATATACCTCGTTAGCGAAACATAGAGGGACTGGCTTGGTGGGCCATGGGCGCAGGAACCGATTCCACGTGCGCGTCGTAGTGGCGCCGCCAACCACTGCGCCACACGCGCCCAAGTCTCGCCGTGGTCGAGTAATAGCACAACCGTGGGCGGCGATTGCGAGCAAA